CGATGCTATTATAGCACCACAGAAAAGGCTCAACAGAATGACACCGGGAGTGCCATACAACGAAGATCTGGTGGCAGAAGTAACCACAGAAAAAAATGGAATATATTGTCTTCGGTGGACACAAGAGCGAAATTTGCAAACAACATCGCACACGATTTGAACAGATCCCGGTGATGACAACTGATGTTGAAACCGAGTGGCAGCTCTTTAAGAGCGGCATACTCGAGGCTGCCTCCAAATGCTGTGGATTTTAACGGGTTGGCCTGCCGCCTGGAGGTCAGTAAAGATTTTCGTGGTGGACACGAGAGGTGCAGCTGGTAGTTAAAGAGAAGAAATGGCTTGGAAGCAAAGAGCCTTCTACTCACGTGCGATATGTCGAGGCACTCAAGGCGGCAGCGAAAGCAGTGGCGAAAGCCAAAGCTGATTCCTGGGAGAAGTTCGATGAGGTGTTTTAGTCGAATTTACCCACGGTAAGCAGAGAATTCTGGCAAACCATTCGCCGCCTCCTATGTGCAAAGAAGTGCAGTCTAAGAGTCTTGAAGGACAGGTCTGGACACCCTCTTGTCAAGGATGAGGACATTGTTCGGTGATGGAAAGAATACTTTGAGGAACTGCTTAATTCAGGGCAACTGCAGGAAGGTGCGTCTGTAAAGTAGAGCAAACGAATATTACTCTTTTTGCACATGAAATTGTCCAATCTTGAAAGGCGGAAATTCTGCTGCAATTAATGAAATCCGCCCTTAAGTGCTCAAAGCATTAGGCGAGCAAGGTATTTGCTGGCTTACCTGTGTCTGTCAAACTGCGATGACTACGGGAAAGACACCAGCGGACTAGAGAACGGGAGTTATTGTACCCGATTCAAGGAGGAAGACCATAAGGAATGCTACAATTATACGGGCATTGCGTTATTGAGTCTCCCAGGTAAAGTCTACGCAAAGGTGCTAGAAGGGAGGTGCCGTGGAATAACTGAGTCCTGGATACAAGAAGAGCAGTGTGGCATTCGGCCCGGTCGAAGCAACTCTCTGACCATGTATTTGCCCTGCGTGAGATTGTTAAGAAATTGTACCCATCCGGTGTACATGTGTTTTGTTGGCCTAGAAAAAGCCTATGACCGGATCCCACACAACAGCCTGTTGGTATGCCTGTCAATAGGTGAGATCGATTGCCAGTTGCTATCCGCCATCTAATCACTCTTTGCTGATGGCAGGTACTTTGTCAGAGTAAATGGCATTTAGTCGAAGCCTTTCAACGTTGGCACTCAGTCTGCTTCTAGTACGTAATTACTGTAGTTGAAAAACAGCATAAAATACAATTTACTCAGAAAATATGGTTAATCGGATTATTGACTAGTGCCGAAGTGTTTGGATTTGTCTGCATGGGCTGATGAAACGCACCGCTGTTTGATCGTGCAGCTTTATTCTCCATTACCAGTTACAAACATCTGACGTGGCACAAGCTATCACCGAACTTCCCCGACCAAAGTTATATATCTTTAACAGCCGACTGACTCTTTTATACGTGTTCGTCGAACACCTTAGCCAATCTACATTCATCAACATGTTTGCTACCTGAAGATAACATGGTCGGTCGATGAGAGCAAGTTCTGCGCAGTCTGCGACATAGGTTTAGTCTGATTAATGCTTGCTGAGAAAAGATGCCCTAGAGCCATGCAGTTGAGAGTTAGCAGGCTGCAGTCATTATCTTTACTTGAGTGCTGTCCTACGTTGGCCCTACTCTGCAGTTTCTTAGAATGGCCATGTTGATGATTCGTATCCATTTACTATAGACGTCGATGTAGTAGATAAATGTTTTACTTCCGCTGTGTTGTCATTAAATTTTGACCGTCAAGCGACTTGCTCTTTGGTGCATCCGCTTCATGAGGGAAAATGAAAAGTTAGGTTAATCAGTTAATTAAAGTTTTAACGATTGAGTGCTACGTCATTTATGCCTACAAATATTAAAATGTTTTGGTATTTATTACATACTGCTTTGCACAATGGCCCTGTCGAGATCTACCGAATTTTAGAAATTTTCTGACATAAATTAGCATTAAATTTTTTACGTAAAGACCGCTAAGTTATTAGTTAAATATTGCCGTGATGACGGTGCCTGACGTTTTTTAGGAACCTTACATGTTCCAAGCGTCAGTCAAGTGTACAACTTATATTACGCTGTCGACTCGTACTCGTTTCGACTTGAGCCGCTACTCGTTACTCAGTTCGCTTCGATTACTCCTCAAATGGTACCTCGATACGAGCGGTTCCCGCTTGGTGATGATCAATCCACACATATTTTGGACTGCGTTCAAAAGTACGTCATTAAATTGCAAGCCAGTCCTGAAGATTCCTTAACCATGTATCAGAAGCGCAGTCTCAGTTTCGATGCCACAGAGGTGCTCAGGAATAACGCTGCCAAGAGCAGAGATGGTAATTTACTGGTGTTCGAATTGGAGTTTTCTATTGGAGTTTTTAAACCGATTTGTAGCAGCTGGTGGCCAGGATGTCGCAGGCGATATCTTGTCAAAGTGGTGGGGTTCTAAGCGGATCGACTATTCGCTGTATTGCCCGGAAGGAATCTCTTCGTTTCCTGTCGCAGCCCTGCCAAACATTTTACACTCGAGTTTCTGGGAGTCGAGGGACGTCGCTGCATTCATCATTCGCCAGTTGACTTCCGTCGAAACTTTCACGTCAAAGCCTCAAGCATCAGAGCAGTTTCGGTCTCTGAAGCCGACTGAGCGATGGCGTCGAAGACACACGTCCTTCAAAATCCGTAACATCGCCCCCAACCACCGCGCCAATGATGTAATTCTGAATGAGAACGCGCCACAGCTTATACACGTAAGTGGCGACAGCGTCTTTTTTTCGTTTTGGTGGATTGTAGCCATCCTTCACTTGCAGCGTGCGGCCAAGGTTTGAGGTAATTTATTTTTGTTCTCGCTCCATATTCTCATAAGGAAATCCTTCCGTAGCGAAGTTTATACGTAGACTAAGAAAAGAGAATTTTCCGAAACTTATTCACAACTTGTTTGCCCTGATATTTTGTTAAGAGGATATCTTACTGCTACAGGCATTTCTTATAAACGAATACGTCCTCTGATTGCTGGAGCAATTGAATCAGCCGGTAGTCGGCGATTAATTCCGCTTGTCGCAACATCCCCGCCATTCTTCGCGGCTTCGAGCCTTCTCCCTCCAAGTGCTGCCTTTTCTAGCTTCTCATGTATTCCCACTGCCGTGCTGGGCGACCGAGCGGCGCCATAGTACCAGTCGCTGTCCGCCTCTCGTCCGTCAGCAGAGCTACGTGTCCGGCCATCCGAACTTCTTCCTTCTACTTTCGACAACGATTACCTCATTCGCTTCCATCGCCTATTCGAGCACCGTATTCGCTATGTGGTCGCTAACGTGAGCGTCCCAATATTCTTCTTTTCAGATCTCCATCTCTATAACAAATAGCTGGCTTTACCCTCTCACAGGCATATGACATTGCCATCAGGATGAGAGATGGTCACGGTTTTCTTTCCTGATAGTGGTAAAGAGGACGTCTTTGATAGTGTGGAATGCGCGCCAACCAGTTTTCCTTTCCTGTTGAATTTCTCCGGCCTGATCATGTCTTATGTTGATCTCTTGTCCCATGCAACTGTACTTATCTACTTCGATATTTTCTTAGTTATATATTACCTGATCGTTCAGCAGGGTATTCGAATGCAACGTCTTCGTCTTTAACCGATTGATTCGGTTGTCTGACTTTTTCACGTTCTCTCTTGAGCTCCTACAAAGTGCTTCTAGCTGATGCGTTTTCCACTGGCAGCACTACATCGTCAGCGAACCTTTGGTGACTGAGCTGTTCACCAATAGTCTTTGTCCCAGATTTCCAATTCATTCTTTAAGACACCATTTCAGAACAGGCAGTGAAGAGTTTGAACGAAGTGGTGTCTGTCGTTTCACCCCTTCCATTGCGGGATTCGGGAGAGAAGTGTCGAATAACGTGAGGTTTATGCAGCACCCGCAGTTTGCCTCCTTTAGCAGCCTGATGTAGCGGCTGTTGACTTCTTGTCCTATTTGCAGCATAAAATATTTCTCGTTATAATTGGCTTGTGCAAAGAATTTACTTCGCTCTGTTGGTGCATTGGTGCAACCAGTCTAGAAACCGGTAAGAAGTCAACGATATGCGAACAGTTACGGCGGCACGATGTCCTGGTTTGTAATACCACAACGGATTATAATTACGATAACTTGTCAGTTGCATTCGCTTTAAGGCTGCATTTTGTTTTACTTGCTTCTACAGGTGACCGTGTAGTTTGATAATTAGTACAAGATGAACAAAAATTATCTAAATTCTGGAACAGATCTATTCTTATTCTTACTTTACGAGTTTTCGGTGTTCCTTTTTCATGTATAACAATAAAAACTGTTATTTTCTTTTTTAACATAGTTCACCAGGTTTTCAGACTTATATTTTGGTCCATCACTGACTCAGATTTTATCCAGGAATCTAAGAATTAGTGAGGTATCGGCGCGGAATGCGACAGGTTCCAGGACGGCAGCCGGCGGCTCACCGCAACTGCCCAACTGTAATCCAGTCGATACCAATACCCTCCAAGTGTCCTGCTTATCGATAATCCTTCTTTGAGTTTTCTTATAACCCTTTTCCAAAATGTAACTGTTTCTTTATCTGGAGTCGCCTCCTCATTTCTCTCTTGATTCGTCAAAGTCTTGTACAACTGTATATGGTTATATCGAAATTGCACATTCTGTGTATACTGGTTCATTCGTAGTTCAAATCGCATTATTTTGGTTGCAATAGGGTGATTGTGAATCGCCTCTGGTCGCGTAATCGCTGCTCCGTCACTTCTGAATCGGATACATTGCCTTCCGAATGTCGAATATCTCTCCTTGATGGTCTTAGGTGTTTGGATTAGGTCGGTAGCAGCACTCCATTGTCACTATTTTCCCACATACGTTTCCATTGGACCCTTCGTCCTTCCAACAGCCGCACAGCGTTCTGTCCTGGTTGCCGAGCAGAGTTCGCTGAGCTTTATAGCCTACTTTTTGCCAAATGTTCAGGAATTCAAAAATCTGGCGTGGTCCTTCTTGACCTGAGCATAAACTGATCCAGTATGTTTATTTTTAAGGTGGTATTCATGTTGATTGATGGGTTTGTTCTCCTTTTGTCTAACCCCTCCACAAAGAGCTGCTGCCTTGCGTGGTGGACCCTGTCATTGCTTTGCTACCGCCAGCAGAGTCAT